CGAGACGAGGTGTCCGCGAGTGGCGTTAGCCTGGCAGCCGCTTCCTTTCTTTCCCCAAGTTTCGTTCGTCTCTTTTCTGCGCCCCCCCCTTCATTCCACCCCCCCCCCGCCGCCCAACAACTTTCAATAACTTTTCAATTACGAAAGACGGTGTAAGACGGCTTTCCTCCGACATGCGGCCTTTCCCGATGCCTTGGGTTACAAAAGCCCATAATTCCCAGCCAGCCGCGTCCGACAGCTATTTTTTGGTTTGGTGGGCTAAAAGTTGGAGTCCAACGCTCTTGCCAGGATACCAGGCTGAGGAAGAGTAACATAAAGTAATCGGTACGTTTTAAATGAAGTTGAAAAGCGGTAAGGACAGTGAGCAGGGGGGTTGGACTAGATGACCTCCAGGGTCCCTTCCAACTTTATTATTATTATTATTATTATTATTATTATTATTATTATTATTATTATTATTACAGTTATCAGTCTGTCTAGTTGTAAAGAAATAGTGTATGAGCAGATCAAAGGCTTGTCTAAACTATCATCCTCTCCTGGAGAAACCATTTAGGTATATCTGTTTTCTTTTCATCAATTTGTACACATTCCTTTTTTCCCCTCTTTTCTAATTTATAGATGTGGAAAATCAATTTACTGGAGAGAAAACCAATGAAGGTTTGCATTTGAGAAAATTTAAGTATTAATTTGACAGTTTAGAGGCCATTTGACTCCTGACAAGTCTGGATGGCTTAAAAGAAATACAGAATGAGGAACATGCAAAAGTTATTGTAAGGAACCTGTTATAATTGCTAGCCAGCTTTTTTGCTAAAAAAAAAACAAAACCATGAAGGGGATACTATGTTTATGCTTACAGGCAGGGCTTTTTTTGTCATAGAACGCTCAGAACGGAGTTCCAGCACCTTTTTTGGATGGAACCTTGTAGGGTAGGCAAGGCGGGTTGTATAATGTGTGTGAGTTCCGGCACTTTTTTTTTTTTTTTTTTTTTTACAAAAACACTGCTTACAGGTAGTGCTCAATTTGCAACCATTGACTATTTGAAGTTACAATGGCACTGAAAAAAAGCGATTTATGATTGGTTTTCACAGTTACGACTGTTGCAGCATTCCCACGGTCACATGATCAAAATTCAGACACTTGGCAAATGGCATGTATTTATGACAGTTGCACTGTTCTGGGGTCGGTCATGATCAGCATTTGTAACCTTCCCCAGATGGCTTCTGACAAGCCAAGTCAATGGGGAAAGCCAGATTCACTTAACAATTGCATGATTCACCTAACAACTGGAGTAATTCATTTAACAATTGTGAAAAAAGGTCATAAAATGGGATGCAACCCAATTCTGGGGCATAAAGAATACTTTGAAAACAAAACGATAGAGATCACATCCTTTTTTAAAAAAAATCTTTGGGAAATCTAATCCTGGTTTTTTTTCACCATTTCCTGGTTGACTTTAAAATACAAAAGCTGTATGTTGGTACAGCTGTGATTTTAGCAAATCCCTGACTGCTGGAGTACCAATATGGAGCTGGTACTGTGCATAGCTCTTCTTAGAGTATTGACTATTTAATTGGACAAAATATCCAATTAAATTATTTTGCATAAACTATAGATTGCAGCAATGTGATTGTATGATGAGTAAAAGGGAAGAGAATATTCCAGCTTTTTCAGTTTCTGCACAAATAAGACCATAAATAAGAGCATGAATAAAAGACTGAACTTAAATAGTACTGCTCAAAAGGTACAATAATTCTTTTTAAAATATTTTAAAATTTAATTTAGAAAAAAAGGTGTCTTGTATTTATTTCACTTCTTAATTATCTACTAGTCTGCAAGTACTGCAGTTCTTTGAACAAGATATTTTTTGAAGCAACTAGTTAAGAAATCTGATGGCAAAGATAACAAGTGTAAATAATGTGAGAAATCAAAGTAACTTCTACTGTTTATGTATGTACTTTCCTCTAAATAGAATTGAATATTGAAAAAACACACAAAGGATGTTTAATGCTTTTAAGAACTCCCTGGCAATAGAAATTGTGACAAGTGAAAAAATACACTTTACTAAAAGCCACAGCAGCTTCTCCCCACCTAGGATATTCTTCTCCTAAAAAAAAAAAGTAGACTACTATTTTCATCATTCTCAGCCAAATAGGGATGTGGGTTTTTGTTTTGTTTTTTTGTTATATGAAGCATGAAGACATTAGGAGAATGTCTTCTCCTGAATAATTGCTGAATAATTGCTAGTAAAATAAAGGAAACTGAATAATTGCTAGTAAAATAAAGGAAACTCCATGCAATATATATTCATGGGATAATTAGAGTTTTCAGTTAGATAGAGCACTAGCATACACCCACATGAGAAAGTTATTCAGGAAAACAGAAAGCAGGTGATAATTAAGGGTAATAAAATAATTGTTGTATAGCATGATTTCTCTTTCTGTTTCAAAGCTCTCCAGACTGGTCTGAAAAATACATGGTAAAATACATTATCAAAGCAGAATTATGAGCAAAACAACTCTTTGTATGTCCTTTGCAGCTTAGGAAGAGAATTTGATACAGTAATATAATTTACTTGCTTCTAAAAAATTTGGAAGATTGGATCTATGCCACTGATGATTCTTGTTATAGTAAAACAAAATACAACATATAAAATTACAATTCTAATTTTGAGAAGAGGGGTATTGAAATACATCCCTTTTGCTCTATTTAATTTACAAGTGGGGAATATAATTTTTTGAGAGAAAAGTCACTTTGAAATTACTGCAGGACATGCAGAATTTTTGAGAGAACCCAAATTTCTTATCCATTATTATTTTTAATTCATTAACTTAACACAGAGTATTGTCCTCAGCTAAATTTTTAAAGTCCTCTAGAAGGAAACAGTTTCTACCTCTGGCAAGACCAACTTACTTACCCTGCAGCATAGTGGAAACGAGATAGAAAAAGACAGAAACAAAACTTGTCCACTGTTTGCTTAAGCTCCAACAATCATAACATAGAACCTCTATGGATTACCCATTGTTGGTTTAACAGATACTTAAACCACTGATTTTATGTGCCACTGAGATTTCTTGGTGATTATAAAAACCTATTAAGCTACATGACTCTAGAATTGGGTGGTGGTATTAAAAAAAATCCTTTAGAATTATCCCATCTTGGATAAGGATCAATTATAGATAATTTAACTAAAATACAGTCCTGGATCATGTGCATATATTATTTGATTTACATCTTCATTCATGCTTGCTGTAATATCCAGGAATTTTTCATTTTAAAAGCCAGATATGGTCCTTTAAAATTAAACTGGATTTGCTATCCATGTGTCATGTTTATTTTTTCCAAGTGATTCTAATAATACAATGCAAGGAAAGCGTTTGATTATTTAAGAACATTAAAAATGACTTTGCAAATGACTTTGTGATATGACTTCTGAAACTATAGTTTAGCAAGGAAACTATAGTTTAGGACAAGAACAGAGGAGAAATTCTGAATGAGAGATGACTATTACTGGTAGGAAATAAACAGTTTTAAAACAGTATTAATGTTATGGAAATTGAGCTCTTTTTTAAACTTTACTGTGGACAAGCTATGTTTCCTATCAGTGTGTTTTTGTCTAAGGAATGACTTACCTCCAGAAGTTGTGGGTGCTCCAACACTGGAGGTTTTAAAGAAGAGATTGGAAAACCATTTGTCTGAAATGGTATAGAGTTTCCTGCTTGAACAGGGGATTGGACTGGAAGACCTCCAAGATCTTTTGAAAAAGCATCTTGGGGACAATCATGAATTAGATGACTGAGAATCTCCATAGACATCCAAGATCCCTATGAATTCTGTTATTCTGCATTATTTAAATACTTGCTCATATGGTTGATGACCACTTCCCATGATTTGGAACTACCTAGTCCATTGGTGGTTTTGTTTCAGCTGCTCAAAAGCAGCTATTTGTTCTGAAATATATCAGAGTGTTTGGCATTTTCAAGGTTGATCCCAAATCCACGAGCTGGTAACTAGGTCACAAACCTCTTCAGAAGCCAGATACGTTCAACTCTTTAGTGTGAGAAAATGAGTCTCTGGAATAACTGGAGCAGAGCCAACTGGCATTGTAAGGAGCAGCAGTTATCAAACTGGCATTTAGAATCTGTTTCCTTCACGTCTTGTCTTTCCTGACTGCCATTCTTCCTGTTATCTTTGGTATTCACTTTGACTCTCTGCAATTGTCCAATTTCCTTTCTTCTATTAAAGGAATGGTTTATCAGCACAAGCCCAGGAAGGGTGTTGTCACAGGAAGATTGCTGCCTTTGTAAAATGGGCATGCACACACAGATGGAGGAAAAAATCTGAACCTTTAAAATGCAAACATCTTGTATTTACATAAGATGATGGCAGGATCCAGGCAAGTTAATTATTTTTCTGAAACGACAAGATTTCACTTGATTATTTATATAATATAGGCAGAGATATCTTTTTATCCTCCCTAAAATTCTGATAATTTAACCCAACTTTTTTCCAGATGTAAATGCACAACCCTGAAAGAATTTGAAGAAGGATGCAGGGCATTTGAAAGCATGAAATTGTATAGTATATTGAGCTCTTGCTTGATTTAAAGGATAAGAGACTTTACTGTATTTTCCTTCTTTCCACTACTTGAATTTCAGATCTAATATACAAATAATAAATCAAGATGAAATTGTAGGTCTGCATTGTACAGACATTTGTAAAGCTTAGAGCAGTGTTTCTCAACCTTGACAATTTTAAGGCATGTGGACTTCAACTCCCAGAATTCCACAGCCAGCAATGCTGGCTGTGGAATTCTGGGAGTTGAAGTCCACATGCCTTAAAATTGTCAAGGTTGAGAAACACTGGCTTAGAGAATTGCTTAAATGAGAATTAGCTGGGAAGAGTGGGTTTTATTCTTTTTAACATGGCTGTTGTACAAGTACGATCTTATAATCGATAAAGCACTGATTATGTTACTACTTGTATCTGAAGGTCACAGTGCAATGGATGTGAGAGGAGATTCCATGAGGATGACTGTGCACCTGCTTGCCAACACTGGACATGCAATACACTTGCAACAAGTTCTTGATCAACTTCAAAAATGGATCTGCCTGGACGTTCGCCTCTTTCTTGTCTCAGAATGCCCTTCTCCCATTAAGTATTATGAGACATATCGCCAAAAGAGTTCCAGGTTTCCTAGTACTTCTGTTCTCCTTTTTTTGCATGAGGACTTTGGAGAAGAACGGTTTTTCCAGGTACATGACTTCTTTCAACATCCACCTTGGCAACCTATCCACATTGAGTGTCCCAGCAGGAAGCTATCCCTCCATGTCCTTGATCATCAGGACTTTTATGGACTGGATGAGCATATGCCGGTATGGGGCCTGAGACAAGTTCACTATGGCATGGAAATCCTGCGTGTCACTCTCTATTGTAGCTTTGATAATTATGAGGATGCAGTAAGACTTTATGAGACAATCCTGCAGAAAGAAGCATCTGTCCAAAAAAGCAGCTTCTGTGCTTTCCTACTGTACACAACACAGAGCCTCGTGGTTCAGCTCTGCTTGAAGCAGCTGCCTTTGGGGATGAGTGTTGACCTGAAGGAATCTTCAGTATTACAGTTCAAAGTGCATGAAATTGGACAGCTGGTTCCACTTTTGCCCAATCCCTGTGTCCCAATCAGCAATACTAGGTGGCAAACGGAAGACTATGAAGGAAATAAGATCCTGCTGCAGGTACTTGTTGTCACTGCAATAGATACCAAAAGACACGATGGTAGAACTTTTGAATTGTCCTTAGCATGGACACTATGCAATAGCTGATACTGCTATTTTCACAGATTTTTTAAAAAAATTTATTATTTTTTTCAAATGAACATATGAACAAGTAATACAAATATGGTGCATTTCATTAGAAAAACAAACACATAAAAAACCTACTCATTAGATATTCAGAAATAATAGGCGCTCCCCCCCCTGCATCCACACTCCCTCAACCTTCCTACCTACTTTCCTCTTCCTTCCTCCCCCTCTTGACCATGACCTCTCCTCTTTCCTCCTTTCCAACTATCCTACACATCCCATCACCTTCTTTTCCACCACCTCGGATGCAGTTTAGGAGTACTAGCCGATCATCTCCTCTTCTTAAAGACAAACATTTACATTATATTTATAAATACACCAAATTTTATATAATTCTACCCCTTCATCCCCTTCCCCCCTCCCCCCCGGACTTCCCAGAACTGAGTACAGGGATAAATACATAACATCCCAAGTCTAAATTAAGCTATCCATTCATAATACAAACAAAATTAGCATACTTTAACTCTAATATACAATAATAAACTTGAATATAATATATATATATAAATTATATTAAATATATAAAAAATATTAGAAAAAAAATATTTATTCAAAAGCTATATGATAATTAATCACTTCATACTTTCTCTTCATATAATCTATCCATCTTCTCCATACCGAAATAAATTTTTCTTGAGATTGATTCTTCAAGTATGCGGAAATTTTTGCCATTTCTGCAAAATATGACACCTTCAATCTCCAATCATCCATAGTCGGTAATACCTCTTTCTTCCAGTTTTGAGCAATCAGTAATCTTGCTGCTGTTATACAATACAACATCAGATTCATTTCTTTAGGATCCAAATTTTCCATAATACCCAATAAAAATAATTGTGGTGTAAATTTTATCTTTTTCTTAAAAATCTGTTGAATATTCCACCAAATCTTAATCCAAAAAGCCTTTACATCCCTACATGTCCACCAAATATGATAATAAGTTGCGTCTAAATTACCACATCTCCAACATTTTGGCTGCAAATTTGGATACATGCAAGACAATTTTTGGGGATCTATGGAAGATTATTCTTCAGATATATATTTATTTGATATTTGGTATGGCTGTACAAAGTGATTGTAGAGGCATTTTGTTCATTGGAATAAGAAACCACTTTGTCCCATTGATTGATTATTGATTGATTAACCATATTTGAAGTGTTGAAGCAAGAATGTCTTCCAGAAATCCTGGTGTGATTCCTCTGAAGACTTACAGATGGTATGTCCATTTAAATTGCATGTGGTTATGAGTTTGGAAAGCATTCAAAGCCAAACTTTCTGAAGGTTGCAGCTGATTTGCAATCACAAAATATTAATGTTCTTTGCAATTATATATGAATTAAATCTTTTAAAATTCTGTCTTATTTTGCAGTTATTAAAAGACAGACAAAATCCTTCAAAAAAAACCACCTGGACTTCAGCAGGTTTATGGTTAATCCAATGACATGTAAAGTGAATGCCTGGAATTACAGGCCTTGTAAAAAATTATCATTAGCATTATAAACAAGTAGACCAATAAAAATAGAATTGGTCAATAGAACATTTTAGGGTAACAATTTATCCTTTGATTTGGTATAAGGGATGTTACATCTTTTCAGTGCTTGCTTAATTATTCCCACTGCTGTCCCACTTCCTCTGCCCAATTCCATTCAAAGCTAGGAATGTGTTTTCCTTACCTATGTCCTTAGTAGAACTCTTTAATTACTGATTTGTGGTTGATGGTTTTATAGGATCAGGTGTAGATCTGACTTTATTACTATTGTCAAGGTGCAGTTAATTTATTTTTTTGTCTACAGGTTCAAAGCACAGGCTCAAAGCACAATGGAACTCAGTCTCTACCTCCTAATTGGCGCAGCAGCACTGACGAGAAAGTGTCTCTCCATTACCGCTGTGATTTATGTTCCAGTGTAATGACTCCCAGAACTGCTGTTCAGCAGAAAAACCGGACTCTTCGAGCCATGAAAAATAAAAACAAATCTGCAAGGAGGATGGTGCAAACTCCTACAAGTCTTTTCAGTCCTTCACAAAGCAGCTTTAATTCTTCCTCCAGTTTGTATAATATAGTACATTCTTCTTTGCAAGATCTAGGCCCTTCCCCAATGAACCTGGGCACTAAATTGAGACATTCCAGCCATGAGCTCTGGCTATCCCAGAACAAAACAGAGGAGGAAGAAGAGACTAATGTTGACACAGGCAAGAGAGTAGTACCTTTCACATGTGCTAATAACTCTCCCCTAAACAGATTTTCAAAGGACTTACAAAAAGAACTTCTTCAGTCCCAGGCACCAAGCAGTTCATTTATGGAAACAGGTTTGGGTTCTGAGGGCAGGAACTCTCTATTGTCTTTGCATATTGCTGAAATGAATAAAAGATCAGGATTTAATCATTTTCAGCTGAGCACATCAGGAGCAAGTGATGGGAATAAGAAAGATGAGGAAGAGTTTTTTATATGATTTAAAACTTCTATGTGTCTTTTACTGCCTTATTTTTGGAATATCAGAAAGTACAATTGATCTATGCTTCTATATAAATAATCTGCCAGTGTATGCTACCTTTTTATATTAGAACGACAAAGAAAGGTTTACAAAAGTTGTTGTCAAAAGAGCAAAAAATGTTTATGGATTAAAGTTAGAACTTGGGGGAAAAGAAGAGGAAGAATTTTGCAATAGAAATTTCACGTACTGGAGAACATTGTTCAATAGATTGGAAGAAGCCATTCATTTTAATGCACCACATAAACTTACAGAAATTCACTAAAAATCTAGGAGAAAAACCGAAATCTAGGAAAGCTAAAAGAAATTTGGGAGGCGTCAAGTTGGGATGATGAAAACAGTGCTTTGTTTAATCTTAATTCATTTGACTCATATGAGAAGCTCTTTAGTTCTTGGGTAGGGCCTCCATGAAATATCCTAGAAGAAAGCAATGGCAAAATATTGCGATCAAGAAAATACATGGACACATTTATGAAATCATGAAGGTTCAAGTTTAACTTTTCCCATACCATAGAAATGGGTTTAAAGGTATAGAAAACCAAATAACCATTTTCATTTTGTCATCATTACTAAGCTAAATCTATCCTCATTTTCCCATGCTTCCTGTACTACATCTTGATGTCAGAAGTATGAAAATGCAACTTTGGGTCTTGGGGACTAATGGCTTTCCATAGTTAAAAATGCAACTTATAAAGCACAGGGGCACTCATAAATCTGGCTTCTGAATGTCAATCCAAATGCTACACTTCTTAGAATAGGCAAGATTAGACAATATGTCTAAGGCCAGGATAAATACTACATTTCATTAAGCATAATTTAAATATAAGTCAACTTATTTAAGATAAACTGATTATTCTATTGTTCATTTATTTTCATTACATTCATATTGAAACCTAGTAGCAATTTTTCCAGATTGCTCTGGAGAATATATCAAAGCTCATTCTGGAGCTCAGTTTTTGCACCTTGATGGAAAATGTAGTGCTACTGTTGTGACTACTGTATTAGTATTTCTTAAGCTATGGGCTACTTATGTCTAACTGATACTTGATAATGACTCCTAGAGAACAGGAAACAAACACTGAGTTTGTTACACCATATTCATTTCTCAACCTGTGTATCAGAGAACTTAGATATATGATCAGAAGGCTGAGCTATATTAAGAATGATAAATAACTATAAGAACTATGGCAAATATAGGTGTGACTTTGTGCACTTGCTTTAACAGATGAGTTAAACTTGTCAATAACGAATTGTTATCTATATTAGTAAAGTAATATTGCACTATCAATGTATTGATTGTCATTAGAAATATTTTTTTTTCTACTGCTAGGCAGAGGTCGAAGGTCTGAGGCTCTCAAATCATATGTGACACCGAAAAGCCTTGGGTGCCCCAGGTATCTCCAAAGATATTATCAAATAAAAAGTTTAATATGACAGAAGCTGATAGATTAAATGCTATCAAGTCAATCTGAAGGGGGGATCTAATTAACATGCCAAGTATTGTTTTGCAGCCCACAATGATTTTTAATTGTTCAGTGTGACCCTTTCCCCTCTACAGATTATATAGGTCTGATCTAAACACATCCCAGCACTTGAATACCTTTTCTAAGATCCTTGTGGCTGCTGTACCAAGTGCTACTCTGAACCCTGGGTTCCCAACCCTGGGCCATGGACCAGTATTGGTCTGTGGTCTGTTAGGTGCCATGCAAATGGCAGGTGAGCGAGTGAAGCTTCATCTGCGCATGCATGGGATCTAGGGTATGTGCAAAACCATCCCCCCCCCCGTTCCAGGAAACCATTCCCTGGTTCCAGAAAGGTTGGGGACTGCTGGTCTGAACTATATTTTTAATTATTTGTACATTTTTAGTAGAAAGTTGATTCTGTAAAAGGCAAAAACTATTCACCACTTCAATATTTTCATTGTCAGATGCAAGAATTATGGTTGTAACTAGTGTGCGACAGAAATTAAAGTGAATACCTGAGAATATCATAAAATAAGCATAATAAGTCATTTTAATTATGTTTATAGTATAAATGAAATGAAATCAATATTATTTTAGAATTATTTTAGAATTGAGCCTTACTGGTTGCACTCAAGAAAATGTTGTTTGGAAATGAATGTATTTTTTTTTAGCAAAGTACAAGTAGCAAGACCAAAGAAGCTGATAGCTAGAAGAGGTGCAGCTAGTCCGAGAAGGCATTTGAAGCTACATACAACAATATTTTGAAGCAGAATCAAGAGAAGGTATAGTCATCTCTCCAGTTGCAGTTTCCTTCCTTTATCAGATGAAATGACTGACTCACTATAGAGTGCTTCACTATGCTTACAAACAGTGTGAACAAAACTTTTGTCTCAAACCTGAGACAAACCGTCATGTTATAGAAATTCAGATGTTTTTATGTCCCACCCTCCCATCTTAAGTATCGAATGAAACTTCATTTCCAATAACCTTTCTTCCACCCACCCCCGCTGCTTCCCCTCGGCTGTTACTGATATCCCATCATGGCATATCTCACTGGCCCTCCTTCCCAATCTTCCATTCTCTCCCTTCCCTCAACCCCTGCCACCAAAGGATTGGCTTGTGAACTTCATTGCAGGAGTCTCCCAATGCATTTCTGGCTCAGCTGCTTCTCCCTGCCTCCTGTCAGACATCACTACAGATTTCCTTCCTATTTTTTGTTGATGCACACACTTCATGCTAAACACTTCTGCCCATCAAAGAACTGTATTTCAGGTCATACCCGAAATAAAACAACCCCAAATTGTTTCAATATTTTGCTTTTAATATCCAGGTTCAAATTTCCATTTTATCATGAAATTCACTGCCTTTGGCCATTCATTCTCTCTAATGAAATTGTTACCATAAAATAAGAAACAAACCTCATCAACTTATGAAAGGAGGGAGGGGAGGGGAGGGGAGGGAAAGGAAGGAAGGAAGGAAGGAAGGAGAGGGAGGGAGGCCTTCATCAAGTAAGAAATCTCGAACAATTTTATTTTAAGACATCTTAATCCCAATAAGTAGGTTTTTAACTGTTCTCACAAGCTGATTTTTGAATGCATTATTTTAGCTAAACAAAATTAATAATGCAATATAGTTGCTTTTTAAAATTGTCCTGCTTTGAAAAGGATCCAGGGCTGAACCAGGTGAGAAAGGCATTTGCCTGAACTTTATTTTTGTACAGGTTCAAAAGTGAAGGATTAAAAATGTACATGGAAGTCAGCAAAGTTACCATTGGCTGTCCTTATTATAGATGAGGAAGAAATAGCATCACAGATAATACATAAAAATCAGTTGCTAACAAATCAGAATAACAGAGTGGGAAGGGACCTTGGAGAACCTCTAGTCCAGTGATGGCGAACCTTTTAGAGACGGAGTGCCCAAACTGCAACCCAAAACCCACTTATGCATTGTCGGGTGCCGGGTGGGTGTGGCCCATTGGGTGGGCATGGCTGCGGTGGTAACAGCAGACTGGGTGGGACTAAAAAGTTCAATCAATCAATTCCAACTTTGCAAGATCTTTTTCTTCCTGCGAGAAGTTGAAATTGATTGAACCTTTTTTTTTGTACACGGCGGCGGAGGCCTAAAGTGAAAAGGTTTTATAAAACCCAGCTGAAGGCCTAGAACTGGGGCGACGGCGCACGTGCCCACAGAGAGGGCTCTGAGTGCCGCCTCTGGCACCCGTGCCATAGGTTCGCCACCACTGCTCTAGTCTAACCCTCTGTTCAGGCAGGAAACCCTGTATCATTTCAGATAAATGATAGTCCAATTTCCTCCTAAAAACCTCTGGTGTTGGAGCACCCACATCTTCTGGAGGCAAGTGACATCTTCACCTCTGAAGCAGTTCATTTAAAAACCAATATCAGAGATGGTTACTATATATTCAACCAGCAGTTTATTTTTTAAACCTGATCCACTTTGTATGCTAAACTGTCTCCATAGATATAGCTAGTAGGAATTCCATGGAGAAATTGATCACTGTTTTGATAATGTGAATATTTCCTAAGCACTAAGTTACTTCTCCCAAATGTTGCCAACTAAATCTGCTTTCCTGAAAATCTATTCCATCTCAGTTCTTCCAGAATGGCTTTATATTTGCTTCAATTAGAGATGAACCTGCATAGATAATTCGTTATTCTGAAGAGTTGGCACTAACCATGCCAACTAAATGAGAGAGATGCATAGACTTGTGATGGCCTGATAGATAAAAAAAATCATCCTAGCTGAATCATGAAAGGTTATTTTATATAATCTCTTATTATTACTAATTTTAACGTTCTGATGATGAAATGTTAGACTAGTGAAAGGGAGGCATATGTTAGGATAGGTAGCCTTGTGCTTCCACATCTTACTATGTGTCATAGTCCCATATTTGGTCTATATGTCATAGTCTAGGGGTCTTCAAACTTGGTCCTTTTATGACTTGTGGTCTTCAATTCCAAGAATTCCTCAGTTGAAGTCCACAAGTCACAAAAGGGCCAAGTCTGAAGATCCCTGTCATAAGTCCCGTTCACACTGCTCTTAGTATGAATTGTGACCTTATAAATAATGAACTGTCTATTACCTCAATCAGTTCATATTACCTCCAGATAGAAGCAATCATGTTTGTATGATTAAATATTTAGAAAGAACATGGAAAGCTATCTTGTACAATTTAGGCCTAGATCTGCCAATCTATGATCTATTCCGAATTTTAGAATCTAATACAAACCTGGTGAATGGGGGCTTTAGTTCTCCAGGCTCTTAATTTTTTGAATTTCAGCCTTAACCTTCTCTAACAGTTTAATAAAATAATGTCAAGTGCAAAGAATCAGGACCACAAGTCCTGATTTATTGCTCATGCCTATACACAAGAATCTAGTCAACTAATGGTCAGCATTACATTGGTTCTAGGTAAAAGTTAACAGAACTCAAGGGAGGCTGGACTTGAACCACTTGGGGGAACTTAATTTCAGGCTGATT